ATGGACACCTTGCCAGGTGCAGTGGGAGAAGGGAATTGTGGCCAGGAACATCCCACACAATGTGAGAGTGTCCCGGGAGCATTCCCAGGGTGTTGTGGACACCTTGCCAGGTGTGGGGTAGGATCTGGGATGTGGGGCTAAGAAGGGAATATTCTGGAGGGGAGAGGTGGAGTGCAGGTGCTTCTGCTGTGTTTGGGGGTTAATTTTAGGGCTTGTGGTCCTTGCAGCAGAAAAGGAAGTCACCAGCAGGTCAGAGCATTTTGGGTGGGAAACTCACCATTTGCCTCTCGTTCTTCACCTCCTTCTTCAGCTGATCCAGCTCCATCTTCAGCAGCTCCTTCTCTGTCATGTCCTGAGCCATTTTGCCCTGGAACTGCAGGGAATTGGCTCGTTATTGGGATTATTGCTTTGTCCCCACAGTATTGCAAACCCCCCCAGTGTCCCACTGCAAAAGGAAACCAAGGCAGGAGCCACCTCTCAATCCCCTTCCTGCCACATCTGCTGTTCCCAGATTTTCCTCTGCTCCTTCCCAGCAGGCACATGGAGCGAGAGATGCAGCCTGAGGGCAGGGGAGGAGGATCCAGCCTGGTTTTTAAGGAGTTCTTTGCCACCACGGAGGCTGTTTCCCCAAGAAACCAGGTGGAGGAGAGAGTGAGCCTGGATGATCCTGGAGAGGAACTGCTGCCTCGGGGCTGTGGGAGAACCTGGATGCCCAGGTCTGCCAACTGCACCTCCCTGATGGGTGTCCTGTGCCCGGGCAACAACATCTTTGGAGGCTTCCTAAGGAGCTAAATATATGTCATTTTTTGTTTCCTCCTTGTGCCTTTCCCCCAGGGGTCTATAACCTGGATTGTGGCTCCTTCATTGCTCTCAACTTGGCTGTTTTTACGCACTTGCTGCCACTGCAAGTTTTTGGGGGTTGTGTGGGTTGGAAAAGCCCAACCCTTTTCCCACAAAAGCCCATCCAGGGGTTATGTGAGACACCCCCAGAGCTGACCTGCACTGTGAGATCTATTTTCATGTCCAAACTTGGGTTTTAAAGCCTGGGCAGAACCTTTTCAGTCGACACAGAGGAGCTGAAGCTGAGCTGTGCCCTGGCCCTGCTGGGAAGGTGTCGAGCCCGAGCGTTGCTGTGCGGCCACTCCCGTGACAAGTGTGCCCCGTGTCCCTCTTCCCACCCATCCCTCGGGACACAGGACACTGGGAGCTGCACCAGGAGCCCAGAGTGGCACAGCCCACGGGGAAAGTGGCTCCTGAAGCGGGTGGGACCCACCTGGAGCAGCAAAGGCACTTACCTGGGGGGGCAGGGGGGCTGCCCCGCGGTGCGGTGGAGACGCTCAGAGCCCCATCCGAGGGGAGATGCTGCTCTCCTGCTCGGAGCTGGAAGACTCCTCCAGCTCTCTGGGAGGGCAGTGGGAAGCAGATGTCTTTGGCCCTTAAGCTGATAATGGACTCAGGAGAATAAGCTGGTCAGGTGTTGAGAATTAGCCTCAAAGTCCAGGGTAAGCAGCGGGGCTGTGGGGAGGGTGAGGATGGGCAGGAAGGGTGGGCGGGTGACTGGGGCACCCAGGAAGTCCTTGAGTCCCTGCCATGGGTGTGTCTGAGCCTGTGGAGTGTCCAGATCCTGATGTGGGGTGGCAGGACTGACCCCTGGGGCGATCAGGGCAGCTTCCACCCAGTTTAGGAGGAGAACTGAGGCAAGGGGGCTGCCACGGCCTCGTCGGGGCTGGGAGCGGCTCGGGAGGCTCTTGGTCCTTCAGGGTGTGAGGAGCTGGGCCGGTGCCGGAGGAAATCCATCATTTCCCTCGTCCTTGTGCCGGAGGAGCCGCGGGCTCAGGAAGGGCCAGGCCCTAACGAGGGGTGTCTCTCCTGCCTGGCTGGTGCAGAGTCACTGGGGCTGAGGATGGGCCCGGGTGGCCCCAAGGAAGCACCTGCGGGTGGAGGAGGAGGAGCCCCAGAGGCCCCAAGGAAGGACCTGTGGGGTGGAGGAGAGGGTGGAGGGGGATTTCCAAGCACGGGGAAGTGGGAATTTCCTGCAGCCTCACCCCATGAGGATGTGAAACGTCCTCAGCAGAGCACTGGGAAGGACACGCTGTCCCGGGCAGGGAAGGGACGGGCGCCTCGTGGGTCACTTGGCACATCCCGCTGTGCCCCGAGCACAGCCAGGCCCGCGTGACCTGTGTGGGATGCACAGGGGCTTTTCCAGGGAGGGGGACCTGGCAGTGGAATCGCTGCCCTTGGCTGGACCCCGCGCCTGGCCCATAAAGGCAAAGGGAAGGAAATGTTCCTACTGTTCCTTGCATCCCTGGATGTGCTCGTGCCTGGCTCAGCCCCAGCCGGGAGGGCAGCAGCGGCTCGAGGACGGTGGGCACGGGTGGCAGAGATGGGGGTTGGGATCATTTTGGGGATCATTTTGGGTCACTCCTCCCACCCTGCAGGTTCCCCCCGTGACTCACATCCTTCCCCGCTCCCACCCCCTGCCCCGGGCAGGGCAGCCCCCCAGGCGGGTCCCTCGTGGGGCCGGAGCCACGCCGGCTTCCTTCCCCCCCTGACCCCCCGCTTTCCCCTGGCGGGGCCGCGGGGTGTCCCTCGGGGGGACGGGGACACGGCGGCGCCCGCGGGCCCTGCGTCAGCACCGCCGAAGCTCCCAAAAGCGGCGGCGGGGCGGCCGCGGAGGAAGTGCGAGCGCAGCCCGGCAGAATGTCGGAGCTGGAGCGGCTGCGGCTGCGGGACATCCCCGAGGGCAGGCAGGGCCTGCGGGAGCAGCACGGCAACCTGCACAGGGTGGCCGAGTACTGCGAGAGCAACTACCTGCAGGTGGGGGCACGGGGGGCACGGGGCGGGACGAGCCGCGGGCTGGGGCTGCGGGGGATGCTGCGACCACCGGGAGCCCCGGGGCGGTGGGATGGGGGTCCTGGAGGGGTGGTGGAGGGTGGTGGTGAGGGCTGTGCCTTCAGAGTCGGGAGCATCCACTCACCAGTTTCTCCCCGAGCATCTCCTGCCTCGGGCTCGTTTTCCTCCTGCCTCGGTTTCCCCTCTCGCTCTGCAGCTGCTCTCGTGGTGGGTTTGGGATGAAGGGAGAGTTCTCCAGGGGTTTGGTGCCTCTGGGAGAGGACCAGGGACACCGGGCTGTCCCCAGGGGGTGCAAGGTGTCTCCTGGAGGGCAGAGCTGGGTGCCTGCAGAGAAAGAGTGAAGCTGAAGCTCTGCTGCCATCCTCCTCCTCCTCCTCCTCCTCCCCCCTGCCCGGCCCTCACTGAGAGAAGGGGGACAGGAGCTTTTGGGATGAAATAGGGATAAAAAGGCTTCTTCTGGCCCTCTTTGCTGCTGGAGGGAGGGGTGTCTCTGCTGGAGGGATCTTTGCCAAACCTGTCTGTGGCCTTGCTGGCCCGAGCCAGACCCCGAGGCTGCTCCCAGGGGGCTGGAGCCGCCGGAGCAGAACTGAAGGGGAAATGTGAGGAACTGTTTAGAGAACTGAGACACTGTCCCGGCACAGCTGGGGCCCGGCCAGGTGTCCCACGTGTGGCCTCCTGGTGGCACGGCCAGCTGTCCCCAGGGATGGCGGGAGGCTGAGCCGGGCACTCCGCTCCAGCACCTGCCAAAAACATCCTGGGGAGGATTCCCAGTGGTGGATCCCCAGCGCCGGGATCCATCCCCTGCCGCGTGTCCGTGTGTCCGGCCGGTGGAGCCGGAGGAAGTTTGATGCATTTGGAAAGCAGAAGAGGCATCTCTGCCAACGTGTGACTCCAGCGTGGAGGGTGGCAGTGCCATGTGGGGTGGCAGTGCCATGTGGGGTGGGCTCCAGGCTGGGTTTCCCCCCCCTTCCAGGCCAGCGACAAGCGGAAGGCGCTGGAGGAGACGATGGCCCTGAGCACCCAGTCCCTGGCCAGTGTCACCTACCAGGTCAGCAGCCTGGCCACCGCCTTCCTGAGGCTGCTGGACCTGCAGGCGGCCCAGCTGCGCCAGGTGGAGGCCGATGTCACCTGCGTGGCCCAGGTGGGACCGACCCCCGCGAGGGCTTTGGGGTGGGCTCCGGGAAGGGGGGTCCGGGCAGCTCCCAGGGGTTGAAGCCCTGCAGGGCTCGGGCTCAGTCCTGGTCCTCCAGGGCATCCCCTCCCTTCCAGGCAGGGACACGGGGCTGGGAAGGGTGCTGGGACTCGCAGGGGGCAGTGGGGGGTGGGAGAGGCCGGGATGGACGGTGGGCACGGTGTCACCTCCACAGAGGGTGGACATCCACAAGGAGAAGGTGTCCCGGCGGGAGATCGGCTCGCTGACCGTCACCAAGAGGTTCCCACCCTACCAGAAGATCGTGGTCCCCTCGAACCCCCCCAGTCTGGAGCCCTACTACAGGAAACCCCTCAACTTCAGCGTCCTGGACGACATCGGCCACGGCATAAAGGTCAGCTGGGCCAGGAGGGGGTCCCACAGGGCTGGGGGGGCTTGGGTGGGGGGCTCTGATGTCCCCAGCACTGCACTGACGGGGGCAAGGGTGGGCTCAGAGCCCTCCTGGAGGGAGAATTGGGGTCTGGCCATGCCCTGCAGCCTCCCTGGGACTCATCCTGCTGGGATTGTGCTCCCAGTCTGGGGAGGGGGACACAGGCCATGCACAAAGGACACCGGGGCACACAAAGGGACACTGGGGCACACAAAGGGACACATTGGGGCACACAGAGGGACACATTGGGGCACACAAAGGGACACATTGGGGCACACAGTGCTCACCAAAGCCCACCTGGGGACAGTCCTTTCCCAACCCAGGAGGGGATTTGGATCCCTCCAACCCCCACGGAGCCTTTCCCAGCCCCGGAAGGCGCCCACGGGAGGGTGCTCAGAGGCACGAAGGGAAGTGGTGACACCGGGCCCGCCGTTCCCACGGTGGCTGGTGCCGCGTGGCCGCCCCCGCAGCGCCAGCTCCTTCCGCGGGGCCGCTCCCACGGGGGGCCAGCAGGGACCTGGGGGGGCCAGCAGGGGCTTGGGGGGCCAGCAGGGACCTGGGGGGCCAGCAGGGACCTGGGGGGCCAGCAGGGTCTGGGGGGGG